GTTAGTGCATATATAATACACATAGTATATAATTTGTTATCATCAAAACTATATATTAGGGTCAATATATCCAACATAATTAATAATAATGGTAAGCATATTCTGCCTCGTTGTATATCTTGTTTCCAACAACATATTGTTAGGAATAAGAATGTTGTAGGTTGTTGTATTCTCGTGAGATTCTCATAGCTTTTAGGTTGAGGATATTTCGATAATTAGTCCCCCACATTTTCCATATTTTGCATTAGTTCCAAAAATCATTATGTGTTTGAGATTAGTTTCTCAAATCTTCATATTTTTTTTTAAATTAATCCCTTATATTTCCTTCAAAGATATTCATAATAGAATACAAATTAGTATTTGTATATTATTATGAATATATTTGAATGGTAATATATAATATGATTTGGAGATAGTATTCTTTTTTGTTATGAAATAAATAAGAAATATATGTGTCAATTCTTGGTCCCCCTAAGAAATAAAATTTCTAGTTCCGCCCCTACTCGCATGCGTCAATGAATGCATCCATCATTGGTTCAACCCTCATGAAGACTGTAAGAGGACCTATCACCTTGCATGTATGCATCCTATTCCTGTTATCGTCTAAAACAATATGTCAGCATGTTTTATTCTCTAAATCTTTTAGTGTCTAGTCCTTGTTATTAGATTTGATTGATTTATTTTGTTTAATGTATGTTATATTGTGTTCTTTCATTATTCTCACTTTAATGATAGATATTAATGAAGCTTTATTTCTACTCTCTTCTTATTTTATTTCATATAACTTGGTTAATGTGGCACTGATATGGTGCATATTCGAGTTGTGTGATCTGGGCGTGTCTATGAAATTGAATAGTAGTTGTCTGGATATATGTCATATCAGCAACAAATTAGCCAAAATCTCATCACATTTTGTTTGGTTTCCATTTAGCGTGTCTAATCTTAAACATCACATTTTCTGGTTTGATTTCTAGTTAAATCTATGCAATAATTACCTTATCACATGGCTCTCTCATGACATCTTAATGAATAAAATCTCCTAGACTTTCAAATGGGTGTGAATGATAATAAAATATTTTACTATACCTCATATAGGGGCGGATCTATAGTGGGTCAATTGTCCTGGCTGATCTTGAAGGAGAAGAGAACAGAAAGATCATCGATTTTTTTAAAAAATTTTATGGAGGCATCTATAGGGTTCACAAGAAAGAAAACAAGAGGAAGGAGGGGTTGAAGATGAACAGTAACACACTTTTTTACGGTGTTTGCTGTTTGAGAACTTAATTTAGTTATAAGTTTTTGTCTCTCTATGAACTTTAATTGATAACATTATTCAAATAGGAGGTTTTGGTGTTGGCTATTTGGTTTGAAAAAGGAGCTTGTTTTGTTGTTGTTGCCCTTGTACTTTGTTTGGAAAATAATGGGCAAATTTAATTGAAGAAAGAAAATAGTAAATTTAATTTAAATAGAGAATTACATGACTAAAATTCATTTTAGAAGCAAAATAAACTAAGAATTAAAAAATAGAACAAAATAAAGATATAAGATACAAATAAAAGATAAAGTGGGATTCGAAGAGATTTTCTCAAAAAATGTCTAACCTTGAAAATTCGACTCAACGACATCACACCATGATAAATCTCATGCCACCATGGTAGAGTTCATATGATAAATTTTAGGGGAAAATGCTTCCAGCCCCCAAATTCGTAACAAGTATGCTTCCCCCTCCCAAGACTTTTTCAACGCTTTAAAACCCCCCAAATTCGTAATAACTGTGCTCTGAGCCCCCAAAACACAAAGCCCAAGAATTTTACACAGGTAAAGACTATAATACCCATTCTCTCTCTCTAATATTATATTCGTAATAACCATACAATCCCTCCTCTCTCCCTCCTCCTTCCCCCACCATTTTTGCCCTAGCCCCCTCCGTCCCTTCTGCAACCCTCGTGGCGGCCGAAGCTCCTCTCCGGTCTCACGCCTCGACCCCTCGCCTCTGCTCGCCGAGATCCTCCATGTCCACCGCTGATCCCAGCGCGGCGTCCGCTCGACCCCTTGGCCTTTGCTCGCCGAGAATATTTCATGAAGCTCAGAACCTCAACCTTAACCTGTCCCTGCAGCCTGGGCCTCGTCCCGAGCACGCACGAGTTTTCTCGTGTAACTATTGCAGACGGACTTTTTTACAGCACCCAAGCTCTTGGAGGACACCAGAATGCACACAAGCTGGAGCGCAACCTAGCGAAGAAGAGCAGAGAGATGGCTAATGATTGAATTGATCTTGTAATGACACGTGCGAACTTGATGTTGCTTTGTAGCTTCTGAAACTAATGCATCTAGATTTACTAGCAACAGAGTTTCTTCCTGTCACATGTTTTCTTTTTGGGATCTTTTTCTTTTTTTTATTTTCTCCCTTCAAAATAAGTTTTCCTATTCGTAAAAGAATGCCTCTTCTCTCTTGCATCAACGGTATTTTCTTTCTTCACGTTTAATATACATGTACCCAATGATAGTTATCTTTTCTGTTTGCAGATAAGGTTACGGTTGTTAAGGTTACGGGTTGTTAAGATTACGGGTTGCTTGTTAAGGTTACGTGTTGCTTGTTAAGGTTACGGTTTGCTTGTTAAGGTTACGCGTTGATTGTGAAGATTAAGCTTAACAACCAATCCGTAACCTTAACAACCAACTCGTAACCTTAACAATCAACGCGTAACATTCACAACCAACGTGTAACCTTAACAAGCAAACCCGTAACCTTCACAAGCAACTCATAAAACCTTCATAAAAATAAAAAAAGGAAGGAAATAGAAAAAAAAAAGCTTTAATTTTTTGTACTTCTACTATAATAATTCATAACTTCATAAAAATAAAAAGCAGTAACAATTCTACACTTTCCTTCAGAAAATTCATGCTTACAGCACCACATAAAACTGTGCAATGTATGATTACTTTCATTTTACCACTCAACACTCACTGAGGAGGTGGACTGCCATGGTTTTGAGACCGTTGACAGGGTAGAGGAAGAAGACGATGATGCATACATTTGTTTTAGGTAGTGGGAGTGAGCTAGATTTTGTAATAATATTTCACTTTTAATTTTAATGAAATTTTCAAAAGCCAAACGATTTATGTGTTGGTTGTTAAAGTTACAGATTGCTTGTTAAGGTTACACGTTGGTTGTTAAGGTTACGTGTTGGTTGTTAAAGTTATATGCGTTGGTTGTTAAGGTTTCGGGTTGCTTATTAAGGTTACGCATTGGTTGTTAACGTTACGAATTTTCAAAAGCCAAACGATTTACGTGTTGGTTGTTAAGGTTACAGGTTGCTTGTTAAGGTTATACGTTGGTTGTTAACGTCACGTGTTGGTTGTTAAAGTTATACGCATTGGTTGTTAAGGTTTTGGGTTGCTTGTTAAGGTTACACATTGGTTGTTAAGGTTACGGATTACTTGTTAAGGTTACGGTTAATCTTAACAACCAACGCGTAACTTTAACAAGCAACCCGTAACCTTAACAAGCAACCCGAAACCTTAACAACCAGCGCATATAACCTTAACAAGCAACGCGTATAATCTTAACAACCAACACGTAACCTTAACAAGCAACGCGTATAACCTTAACAACCAACACCTTAACAAGCAACACGTATAACCTTAACAACCATGGTAAATTTCCCTGCAGAAAAAGATGAATGAAGTATTTAACACACACGCACAAGTTGTATGAAAAGACATAAAGTACAATAATTTCCAAGAACGACAACACTATAGATGGTGGGGGGATGATGGACCTGAGGGATGGAGAGGGGGGTTTGATGTGGCGTCTGGGGGAGGAGGGATTGGGTTGGGAACAAAGGCGAGGGGTCGAGCGGAGGCTGCGCTGGGATCGGCGGTGGACACAGAGGAGGCGTGAGACCGGAGAGGAGCTTCGGCCGCCACGAGGGTTGCAGAAGGGACGGAGGGGGCTAGGGCAAAAATGGTGGGGGAAGGAGGAGGGAGAGAGGAGGGATTGTATGGTTATTACGAATGTAATATTAGAGAGAGAGAATGAGTATTATAGTCTTTACCTGTGTAAAATTCTTGGGCTTTGTGTTTTGGGGACTCAGAGCATAGTTATTACGAATTTGGGGGTTTTTAGAGCGTTGAAAAAGTCTTGGGAGGAGGAAGCATACTTGTTACGAATTTGGGGGCTGGAAGCATTTTTCCCTAAATTTTATAACTTTATTCACGATTTTTCTTATAGTCTAACTAGAATGACAAACATAATCTACAGGTATAGGTTTTTAAATTCTATCTCTACTAAAATTTAAAAAGAAAGAAGCTTTCATTCCAACTACAATTCAAACTAAAATATAACTCTATCATAAAATTGAAAATCAAATCGAAGTCCTAGAACTTAGTTTAACTAGAGTAAACTCTAAAAAGTTCAAATGTAAAAATTCAAATTAGTTATACTTGTGGTTTCTGCCCCCACTGACTAAAGTTTCTAGATCTGCCTCAACCTTAATAGAACAAAGTACAACACTTATCAATCTTAAGGCAATAATGTGCATCGGTAATCTCACATTTCCAATATACAGAGTTGTTGGATTTAGCTAGGCTATTGAGCTACAATAGCAACATCCAATATAATGCATGTTCATTTATTACAACACTTATCAATCTTATTAGTAATAATGTGGATCAGTAATCTCACATTTCCAATATATATACAGAATTGTTGGATTACGGCCTATATATTGAGCTATAATAGCAACATTCAATCTAGTGAATGTTTATTTATTACGGCTAGGAGTCTATGACTAACGACCTGAACAAACTTTATAATTAAACGAAAAAGCGATTTGGCTCGCGGGTGAACCGCGAGCCATCAACTCGCCAGAAGGAACAGGGCGCGGCCCCACACAATGGGCCCGCCCCCTGTCACCTCTCTGCGAGTGCATGATGCACCGTCTCACCCACGAGCCAAATAGCAAAGTTCATAATTAAACCCACAGAGTACGATACTTTCAATCAACAGAAACAAGCTTGATATATCTCTCAACAATCATATCCTGTGAGAAATCAGTGAAGTACCCTTTCTCCACCTTCAGGCCTTCTTGGGCCGCAATAAGCTTAACCCGGGCTTCAACCAGGTCGGCACCAACCCGTTTCGGGTCCAGTAACATGCACGCAATCTCAACGCAGCCATCTCCATGGTCCAAACAGAGGTTTTGAACTGAGGGAAGCCCACCACCACGGGCACTAACCGACCGGGCTATCCTTTTTACAGTGGCTATATCGGTTGATAGAAATGGGATGTTAAAAGTATCGATCCATGGGCTTGCTCCGATCGCCGTTATTCCTCTGGCCCGATTAACGTTAACGGGTCCTTCGTCGGGTGTCATGGGGAGAACATCTGGGAGGGCACATCCGACCCATTGACTGCCCATGAAGTTGGGCTTGTAGTAGCCCAGCTCACGACGAATTACGTCTAGGGCCTTGTTTTCTGGGTGGGCTGCTTCATACAAGAAAA